AGACAAAAAGTCCTAAAAATGCCCCCCCCTCCCCAAGTTCTATCTAAATTTCAACTCCTGGGGAAATCAACAAGAGGGAGGGAGGGAGGGAGGAAGGGAAGCAGGGGAGGGGGAAGCCCAGGCACCCTTTAAGTTAGGTGTTAATGACAATTCAAATGAGAACATTCCTGAGAAACATGGCAGCTTTGCTGCTTCTAGGGCCCTTTTCTGAATTAACTGCCTTGTTGAGCTGTTGTGAGAGAAAGAGGAGGAAAGTAAAGTTCAGGTCCTTTGCCCACACAGGGTGAAACCAGGGTGAATGAAACCAGAGAATGCTGAAGCTCTGATAATCTTGCAGTACTGACGCTGCATGCCTCCACTGCTTTCTCATCTGAAAGGATGATGTCTTTTGGGAAGTGCATAAGGCTAGACTACTGTAACGCTCTCTACATGGGGCTGCCTTTGTTGCAGATCTGGAAGCTGCAGCTAGTGCAGAACATGGCGGCCAGGCTGCTGATGGGCCTCCCCAAGTGGGAGCACATCCGGCCTGGGTTGAAAGCGCTGCACTTGCTGCCAATAGCATACCGAGTCCGCTTCAAAGTGCTGGTACTTACCTTTAAAGCCCTATATGGCCAGGGTCCGACTTACCTGAGGGACTGCCTTTCCCCGCATATACCCCCAAGAACACTTTGGTTGGGGACTCAACACCGCCTGGTGATTCCAGGCCCCCAAGAGGTAAAGCTTGCTGCGACCAGGGCTAGATCCTTCTCAGTGGCGGCCCCTACCTGGTGGAACAAGCTCCCGGAGGAGATCAGGGCCCTGTGGGACCTTATGCAGTTCCGCATGGCCTGCAAGATGGAGCTCTTCCACCAGGCCTTTGCATAGGGGCCGCTGCTGCCACCACCACCAACGGTGGCAATACCATCAAGATTAGGAATCGCCCTTGGAAGTTCCGCCACAAATAGCCTGGCACTGACAGTGTGGGAATGGCCTGAACTATCTGCTGGACAGTGCCACCCCAATGGGGAAGATCTGAAGATGCCATCAAAACCACACAAGACCATCTTGTTATACAAAGCACTTTATTATTGTTACTGTTGTTATTCCATGATTTTATTGTTTTACATGGTTTTATGTATGGGTCTATGCCCCTTGTAAGCCGCCCTGAGCCCGCTCGTGGGGAGGGCGGGGTAAAAATGTCTAAATAAATAATAAATAAATAAATAATTGGAAAACAGGTGTCTAAACTTATATGGAAAATTCCTCTGATTTGCAGCTGCCTGGAGTTAAATTTCTATAACACATCTGATTCTTGGATGGAAATATTTCATTTAACAAAATTTCAACCCCTCCTTTCTGCCCTCACAAAGGCCACCAAGGTGGTTAACAAATTAAAACATACATAATAAAAACACATTTTAAAACCATTAAAACCAATCTTACCTTCCCAGCAACCCCAACACATCATTAAAACAATTAAAAGCAGAGCTAAATAGGCTTTTAAATGCTGTGAAATGCTACTTTGAATCAAGAGTACCTATAAGGTACAGCACAGTGACCACCGTGGGATCCAAGTGGTGTCTGCTGACAGTGGTATCTGATAAACTTGTATTGAACTCATAATGTTTATTTATGTTAGATGGGGGAAGGAAGACAAATGTATTTTTATAAGTGAACCTGTCAAAGTATTTTTTCCGTCTACCTTGCAACAGTTAAAAGATCACTGCTCACTACAGCAAAAATACAATTCTAATTTAACTATAGTTTCCCATTGCTTGCAAAATAGAAAAAAATCCCATTCAGAGTTAAATGCTCCACTTAGACTGAAGAATTCATGAGCTTTTGAAGGGTTAAAATTGCCACTTTTAGAAATGTTGTGGCAGAGTCTTTCCTAATTGGCTGTTTTCAGGTTTTAAGCTTAGATTTATCATTGTCAATGACCTGCTGTTTTACTGCACAGGGACTCATAGGAATAGTAATAAGGAAAAAACCTCCATACCTCAGCACAGTTTCAGAGCACCTTTTCTTCTTATTATATAAAAAAAATCAAATGCCTCTTTCCTTACATCTTATTTTGAAGTGTGCACATCTAATGATTTTTCTCCGTTATCTTGCAACAGCATAATTCTTTTTTACATTCAAATGCAAGTATCTTCAAAACTTAGAAGTATGCCGTACTTACTTTCTTTGATACAGATATTAATGTACATTTGAAGCTCCAGAGCCAAAGCTACATTAGCTGAAAGAGGTTACGCTGATTTTATGGTTACTCCTATATAATGAGGACAATTGTGGCATTTAGCAACCTAACTAACAGTATGGAATAGAGTTTAAGAACAGGGTTTTTTCCAAGCAGAAGACCCTTTTAATTTCTTGTTACAATATGTCCTAATCTACTTACATAAAGTTTTACCATAGCCTGGCCACAGAAATATCACTTGTTTTGGTCATATGCTGCCATTCAGTGTCACCTGGTAGCGAAGGAGAAATAAATAGAGATGGCTGCAAACTGAAAATGCAACGCTATCATTCATTGAATGGTTTTGTGTAATCTGTACCTTTAGTAGATCTGTTCTTTCTTTTTGCCTGTTTATTTTTAATAAAGGCACAAATGTAACATTCATTTAAGTAATGAAGTAAACTTTCCTGAAAGTCTATGGAATAAATCCTCAACTTCGTGAAGATGAGCCCCAAAACAGATACATTTTTTATATTTACCTACAATAACCCAGGAATCAGAGGGCTTTCAGCAAAACCTAAAATTTAAGTCCAATTAATTTTTTTCGGTTGTTGTTTCTGTGTTCTTTTAAAAGGTGCTGACTGTTAAGTCCATCATAGATGGGTAATTTGATCTATCCAGCATGCATACCTTTTGGGTTGTTCTGCATATATTATAAAAGCTTTTGGGCCAAACAAAAATCAACCTATATTTTTAATTATTTACTGCATTGGTTATTTACTATTTTATTTTTTAAAAAAATTGCACAATGGGGCCGGGGCAGATGGAGGGCAATTTTACAAACCCTTGGAAACCCCCAGACTCCCCCCAATCTAAAAACTGGGAGGTAGTAATGAAGGGTTTTCTTTTTTTTTTAGGAAAATAAAAACACCAGATAATTGATTAAAAAGATGCCTACCAAGACCTTGCAAGTTAGTAACCAAGTATGGGGGGGGAATGCTGTCAAGAAGAGAGGTTAACGTGACAGGAGACTGGGGAGGGGAGAGCAAGACAGGAGAAAGTGGTGATGGAGAGAAAGTGTTAATGGGGGTGGAGTGGTCAAAGTAGCAATGGAAATAAATTGGAGACCAGTGAGGGAATGGGATTCCGCCCCCATGAGTTTTCGCTAGTCCCATTATTGAAAAATGAAATTTGAAGATTAGAAGAAAAAGGCGACTAATAGTCAAGTCCTACTGTTGCAGCTGCAGCTCTTCTTCCAAGGAAAACTTTTACCGTCTACTTGCATGGCACTGCAGGACACTGTTCTCTGATCTCCATGAGTCTGACACACTCAAACAGCTTACAACATGACACATTCAAGGACACTATCATCACTCCCTCTATCTGTTCTGAACTTGTCTTCTTCTTCTCTACCCCGTCATCCCCACCTGCCAAAAAGCAGGAAACAAGTGCTCTGACATGGCATGGTAGGAGAACAAAACCCAATGTAGCCGTATGGTGTTATAATATCACAGTTCCATGACAAGGCCCTGGCTCCTGACTACCATTTATTTATTTAATTCCATTTACAGCCCACTCTCCCAGAAACCAGCTTGGAGCAGGTGACTACATCTTATAAATATGCAATTAAAAACCTTCTAAATACAATGTATAATTACTCAAATCCATAAAAACAGTAAAATTGATAGGACAATTTCTGTAAATATCAAGATGGGTAACTGTTTCTTTGCATGCAAAAGTGCCATTCCAGGAGAGGCCAAATGTGTATGCATAAAAAATAGGTCCTTCGGCATCCAGACAGATTAGATTGTTTACACAGATAAAACGTTAGAGAGAGGTTTTGTGGTAATTTGGTGGCTGTACTTTCTGAGACCTCAAAATGTAACCTAGTGAATATGAAGTGCTTCTATATATCAGTGATATACTTCCGTAACATAATTTGTACCTTCACTTTCATCACAGCAGCAAACATTCTATTATCTTCAGACACGCCTCCTATGTAGAGTTTTTTAGTGAAGACAGGAGCGTGGTCATTTTCATCCTGTACTTCAATGATCACCTTGGCAGTATTACCTAAAATAAAAACAGTAATTTAGTAAAATTTTGGTACACAATGGGCATTGTCAGTTGACAACAGGCATAGAAATGGAAGGAAACTGGTTTACAAAATTAAGACCATGTTCCTAAAACTGTATGTGGGTTTGATGATGTATGGAATAACCTGTTGTTAATGTCGCTACCATAAGATTTGTACTGCTACATTGCTTGCAATTTGCAACTCCATTATATTCAAATGGGTGGGTGTAGGGTTTATCTGATACAGCTGACTTGTTAGAGGCTGACATATCCATAAGATGGCATTTAACGTTGTGTGGTCCTGTTTCTGCATCTTCTCCATCCCTCCTACTCTATTATTTTCTGAGCCACTTAATGGCTTTGTGCAGTATCGGTGCACTGTACCTGTCTATGATCATAGTGATAATTCTTGGGTCCATGCTATTTTACTGACCCAGCTCATGTTGTAATACTGGAAGTGTAGCACAGACTGATTCATTGTGAGCACTGTTTTAGCAGCAGTGTGAAGTTTCATAAAACTGGGTTATTAAACACACAACAGACAATGAAATTTCCTCATTAAAGGGGACAAGAGTAATAAAGACATGGTAGAGGTATAGCTGTTGTGGAGAAGTTGAGGATCATCTGCAGCATTTGTTTTGTAGGATACACAGCAAAGAGGTTGATGAGACTAGATGCTGATAAAGCAATTGCAACATATGGGGGTTACCAGGGGTCTTTTCGTAGAAAAAGAGCTGCAGGAGCTCATTAGCATATGGTATGCTAATGAGCTACTGAGCTATTAGCATATGCCACGACACCTGACATCACCGGAAGTTATGTCAGAAGGGGGGGAGGCATTTTCAAAAGCCTCCCCTTCCCTTCCCCAGCTGGCCTGGGGGGGGGGAGCGAAGAGAGTTCGGCCACAAAAGGAGGAAAGAGGGAAGGAAAGAGAGAGTAGAGAGAAGGAAATAAGGGAGGAAAGAGGGAAAGAAAGAGAAGGAAAGAAGGAAGGAAAGGGGATAAAAAGAGAGAAAGAGAGAAAAAAGAGAAGGAAAGAAGGAGGGAAAGAAAACCACACCACGGGGTTTCTCGGATGCTTCCTCTCACTTTCTTCCCCTCCTCCTCCCCCTTTCACACACACAGCGCGGCCCTCCTCATGTTTCTTTGCTGTCGCCAGGCACCCCAGCCGAAGTGAGAGTCTGGCTCTAGCACCCCCGTCTCTCTCTTCCCCTGCCGCGGTCTTGCCTGCCCTCCCTCCCCACGTCAGACCACCACTCGCTGTTCCAGCAAGACCCTCTCTCTGCCTGTCTTTCTCCCACTCTCTCCCCCTGTCCAGCGCGCGCACTCCCTGCCGGGCTGCTCAGTTCTCCCCTCCTCAGACAGGCGGCGTGTACGTCATACAGCAGGTCACACTGTGACTTTTCCCCGCTGCAAGGGAAACGAAACCGCCGGCAAGTGCGGGGCAAAACCACGGGGCACCACCAGCCCGCCTCAGACCCCCCCGCCTAGTTTCTCGGCGGTTCTGCTGCCGCGCAAGTTTCCCCGCACGCGCTCTGTCGCACGTCCGTCCCTGGCCCGCCTTCCGCTCTTGCCGCTTGCGTGTCACTCCATCAGCCCATCCCTCGCCAGCCCATTCTTGCCTCTTCTCTCGCCCTCTGCCTTACTCCTGCGGGTGCAGCAGACGGCCGGAGAGAGCTGTCGCATTGCACAGCCCGCTTCTTCCACCCAAAGCAGTCCCACCAACTGACTTTTGCAAGGTGAGGGGATGCAGCGCAAAGCAAACCGCGGCCAGCCAGCCTTGCCTCCCTCTTCAGCACCACCACCACCATCATCTTGCAAACGGACACTTACGAGCAACAAATTGCAAGCGGCTCTTCTGCGACTCTGGAACGGCTCGACCTCGGGCAAAAGGCACCCCCCCCCAAGAAACAGAAGAAGCCTTGAGCTGCTGCAGAGGGCTCCTTGCCCCCCGTCCTCCCGGCTGCGCTTACCTTGCTCCCGGAGAGCCGGCCTTGGCTCCTGCAGGGGAGTTGTGGGTTCTTGAGCGCGCGCGAGCGCTGCCCGGGGCCGCTGGGCCCCACTAACCAAACGGAGAGTGCACGAGAAACTCGTGCGAGGATTGCGGCTGCTTCTGCTACACAGAAACCCTTTCCTGCATCCATGGGTGCCCTTTCCTGCGCGGGCTTGGGGGACATGGGGGCGGGGCTCGGGGGTGGGGGCGGGGCTTGCCGCCATGCGGGCTGCCGGAGCAGCGCTCCGGAGGGCTCCAACCTGAATAGACCCCTGGGGGTTACTAAATTTTCCACATATACAGGTTTCTGTAGGCTTCTTCTACAATTAAGAATTTTGCATCCCTCTGATATGAGATACCAGGCAATAGTTTGGAGCAGATGTCCCCAGATCTTGAGATAATCTTCAGTTATGCACAAGGTATCCATAAAAAGAAATCTGACTTTGTAGGTGTAGCTATGAAATGGACGCCAGCACAAGCTGTATATGAGCAATTGTATCAGTAAAACTGATAGTGAATTCATCATTGCTCACAGAATAGATACCTTAGATTTGAAAAGACTTCCTTCCCAACAACTTTGGGCTACAAGTGCACAGAGTCTTAACATGAAAAGCACACAGCAATCTCGGCAAAACATCACTTTTGGGGTCAATAATCAAAGAACTTGACACACTGTTGAAAACAATGAAAAGTCAGTTTCCTGAAAGAAATCCCATTTGCCAGTGAGAAATGGTTTCTTTTCAAAGTTGATTCTTTTCCACATTGGCAAGTCACGGCTGTTTATACTGCTATATATGGGGTATGTTTCCTCATAACCATCATTCTCATTATTTTCGGTCTTGTTTCTTATAGAGAATAGTTACGAAAACAGTTCTGTATGTGCAACCAGAATGGAAATGTAACACTTCCTACATGGGCAAAAGGATCAACAATATTATGTCTTCTGATGTCAAGCCACTAAGTACAACTTCACAAGAAAAACAGATTCTCATGATTAGTATGTATAAGAAAACAAGGAAATGAAATCCTGTTGCAGCATGTACAATTATTCCATTATTTGTTTAGATAATTGCATACAGTTATGCTTTTCATATGTAATAAAGCTCTCTCCCACTTAGGCAGATCTGAGAGGCAGGTCCCACTTAGGCAGATCATGAGAGGGAGGGCAGGAAGGGTTGCCTCAGTGCTTAGTTCTTGTGGCCCTTTTTTTACACACCCAGGGAAATGCTGATTGCCACTTTGGGATCAGGAAGCAATCCTGGAGGGATTTTTTGTCATCTTCTGGGCATGGAACAGCAGTGACTGCGGGTGTGGAGGGGGAGGTATTTGTGAATTTCCTGCATTGTGAAATTCCTGACCCTGGAGGTCCCTTCCAACTCTATGATTCTAAAAGAGTGATGGTGCAATCCTGTGCAATGTTACATCTGTCCTAAATTCACTGCTTTCAATGAACAATGAACAGACTGGAATAACTTGGCATAGGACTGCTCTGTTAACCATTCAAGCGACAGAACACTTGTCAATATGGAAATAACCTGTAAAGTCATCACTGTAAGGTAACTCTTTAGAGATCTCTTGCAAACACTCAAGTGTGTGCCAACAACATTTGCATTCTGAAATAAATGAAAAGTAAAATGGTGGTATCTTAGGAAACAAGCATGTGAAAATTGCTACTGTTAATCAGACTTCACAGAAACCAGGAAAACATAATGAAATGTTCTCAAAGCCACCTCTGATATAATAATAGAACTGTGAGTTCTGGCTCTTATTAAATTGGGTTTAGAGTGAGACAAGGGTTTAGAGTGAGACAAGGTCTCTTATGGTACAATCCTAAAATGAGGTACAACTTTCTAAATTTATTTCAAAATCTTAATCTATTGAAGTCAATGGTCTGAGAAGGGTAATATTATTTAGGATCTTTAAGATGTGTATCACCTAACCCACTGTGGCATATTGGCTTCCTTACTGGTGTGGCTGGTCTCCATGAGTTTCATTTCTTTACCTGAATTGGGTGGTGGCTTATAGGAATACAGAATAGCTTTATAGGTTGAGAATTTAAATGCCTACTCTGAGTGGGACAATAGTTCTAGTTCCAGTGCAAAAAAGAGTATCTGTATGCAAATAAGCATTTAGGCATGAAATAATTATACCTTTGGATAAATCTTCAAGGCAGCAGTCAAATAATGAGCTATGGATAAGGTAACAGCCTTATCTTTGCCAGACAGCAAATACAATAAATGGTAATCATGTGAACATACTGGAAAGTGTGAAATGAATGGAGAAATAAAAGATCTTATGGAAGAATATAACTCACAACTAAATAAAAATGGGTGTTTGCATTCGCATTCCAACATGGTCAGACACTCTGTTCAATCGGTCTGAGAATCTGCCAAATGAGGTAAGGCATTATGTCTGGCTAAGAAGAAAAGTCTTTGAATGGTTGGGATAATTAAGAATTTCAAATAATCTGGAAGAGAAGAAGGACTGGATTTATACCCCACTCTTCACTACCCAAAGGAGTCTCAGAGTGGCTTACAAACTCCTTTCCCTTCCCCTCCCCACAACAGACACCCTGTGAGGTAGGTAGGGAAGCACTGGAAAAGATGGGGTGCTCAGTCCCCAGGTGTGTGTGGGGGCAATAGTAAGAAAACATTACAAACAAGTATCAGCCTTCTTTAAATATCAACTACACACACACAAACACACACAAATACATACACATACACACACACAAATACACACACACTCCCCTACTCCATCTTGATGAATGAGACCAGCTGTTCTCTCCAAGTTACATAAGATCCAGAAAATGATTTTCAGACAATCTACAATAAAAAGGGTCAGAGCATGCAAAAACAAGGGAGAATTGGACACATCATGGTCTCTGGAAACAAAGGCCACCTCAGAGAGAAACAAGTCTCTCCCTAGTCCTCAGACCACTAATCAAGACCTTGAGATAAAGCTTAAGGCCACCTTAGCACTGAAGTATTAGAAAGAGCTAAAG